CCCGCGTCCCCTTCCCCCTCGCTTCTCCACCCCTCCCTACCCCCAGCAGAGCTTCGCGAACCCTCCCGAGTTGGACCAATGGGCCCTTTTTGGGGGGTGGGGGAATAAAAAACAGAAATAGCTTCACATGAGGACGCAGACTAACCTTGTGGTTTTAACGCGCACCCTACTCTGAACTGAAATCTGGAACTCATTACCTCATCACCAAGAAACTGCACGAAACCGCCCCCCCCCCAACCCCTTCTTGGAGTTTGGGAAAGGAGCGAGCAAACATCCCTTTAAGAAAGAAACCTACATTTGATTGATTTAAATTAAGGTGGATGGAAGTTATTTCCCTTTCGGGCGCTTGCCAGATATCAAGAAAAGCTGCAAAATGGGAGCAGGGGGAGGGAAGCAACAGGCGGCTGGATAGCAGCAAAAGATAAAGCAAGGGGCAGCAGCCGGGTTAAAAATGGGGGCCATCAATTTAAGTCAAGACAAATAAAAGCGGACCGGGCTGGGGATCACGTAGATTCGTGGTTGCAGCAAAAGTTGTTTCGCAAAGTTGAAAAACAGCCGGTTCCTAAAACAGTTGTAATTTGGAAGGTGTCCCTAGGTTTGCTGGGAGGTTGACGAACAAATAAAAAATGCAGTATAATGTGTGCATGCGTGTGTGTGTGTGTGTGTGTGTGTGTGTACGTGTGTGGTAGTGGTGGTGAGAGTGCGACTCGAGCGCTCTGCTCGGCCCGCCCCGTCCTTTCCAAAGAAACGTGCTCATAATGGGGTGACCTAATTACATCGCAATGGAACCCGCTCTTAGCCACTCAGTGCACCAGGTTTCATAACAGACCTGGCGGCCTTGAGTGCTGGGAAGAAACGTGCGCGGGCCGAGGAGGTGGTGGGGCACGCGGGGGAATAGGAAAGAAACGCAGCTCTGCGGTTTCCGCCTGGGTCCTCACTTAAGTACCTAGGCAAGGCGCGGGGGGCAGGCGGGGGACACGTTAACAACTTATTTGGGTGGGTGGAAGGGCGTCCGAACCTAACAATAAGTAAATACATATTTTACAGTTTTTAAAGGAGTAAATCTATTGGGGGCCTTTCGGTTTCGAGGATCCCATACCCCTCCCCCTATCCCGCCCAAACAGAGCAGCGTGACAAGCCATATGTTCCGTTCCTGTGGGGGCGGGGGAGGAACAACAATAAGTTGAAAGTGTCGCCTCCCCCATCTCTTTAATTTTATTCTTGCCAAAGTAACTTTTTTATTGTTCAAGCGTCTAGGCATGTATTTGTGTTTGTGTATGTTTCAGTGCGGCCCAGTTCTGAGCGGGCGCGGAAAGTTGTGCTGCTGGGTGGTTTTTTTTGGGGGGGGGGAGTGGGGGAAGGAAGGAGTGTTCATGAAGATTCAGATTTTCTTTACAAAAAAGTTTGAAGATTGGATGCGTGAAATAAATACAACTCCCAGACCTGCTAAAGTAAACAATTCGCCTGGGCGGTGTTCGTGCCCCCCCCAACCCCCCCCGCAGAGTGCCGGCTGCAAAGCGAGCGCGAGTGTAGACGCGTGCGGCGCGCTAAATCTTACTGCGCTCACCCCCGCCAGGCCAGGCCCTCCTAGGGGAAAAAGTCCCAACCGCTGCCCCCCCCCCTTGAAAAAAACGTAAAATCTTAGACATGAAGGCTTTGTACGTCCCAAATTGCCAATCCCCTCGCCCAGCTGGGTTAGGGGAGTGGAGCCTAGTGAGGAAGAGAACTCGGGAAAAAAGTTGTGCGGGGCCTTTGGAGAAGTTTCAGGAAAGATCTCAAGATGGAAACCACAGCGAGGCACAAGACGGGCTTCTGCTCCCACTTGCAAAAAGAGAAAGTCGCGCTCACCTTCCTGCCCGACAGAAAACAACAACACAACAAGAACCCCAAAGAGTGGAATGACTGATGTCACAGAGCCGGGCTCACAGGCTGACAAAGGGGAACGCGCCCCTCCCCCTCTGCGCCGCGCGCAGCCCCAGAATAGGGCGCCGGGTAGCAAAGCGAGCGGACTCGAAACTTTTCCTCTTTAAGAAAAAAAAGTTGTGCGCGGCTCGGAGTGGGTTTTTTTTTCCTCGCCTTCTTTCCTCGTCTCCCCTCCCCCTTCTTCCTTTTGAAAGTTTTTTTCCCCCGAGTTTGACCGCATGGCTGATTCAACTTCAGTGTCAATCAACTTTTTTTTCCTCCTCTTCCTCATTTAAATAAGTTTAAAGCTCCTCCTCCCCCAGATTAACTTTATAAACTGGGCTTCGCGCGCCGCAGCCCGAGAGAGTCAGAAAGGCTAGGGGCGCAGGGAGCAGGCGTGTGGGATTCCAGACGCGAGAGCCGGAGGCTGCGCCTTCCCCGCACCGGGACCTTCGCGACACACCAGATCCTCGTCCCTGCCCCGTACGAGCACCCACGATGACCACCACCCTCGTGTCTGCCACCATCTTCGACTTGAGCGAAGTTTTATGCAAGGTAAAGTGAGGGCGAAGCGTTTGCTTTTCACTTTTTTTCCTTTTTTGCTTAAAAAAGAGAACCCCCAAAAGTTTAGGTCTGGGAAAATGGGAGGAAGAGTGGGAAAGGCAAGATGGTTCTTCCCCCCCCATATCCTACCTCCTCTCTCCCGTTTGAAGGAATTTAGCTCTCTCCTCCCCACCCTTTGAGTTTCAACAGTTCCTGGCGGGGATTACATGGGAATCTGGAGACTAGAGTTTTGGGGGGCGACGTTTGCGTGGCGGGGCTGCCCAGGGGACGCGGGGCATTGGGCTGGATTGGGGCAATTTTTCGATGATCTTTCGTTTCCAACGTGCTGCTTGAGCCCGGTTTCGCTGGTCTACTCTGTTTCCCCGTGTGTGCTCTGGGTCTCGCCGTCGCAGGAGGGCTTCGAGTCATTAGCCACATTGCCCGCCTATGGGGTTGGGAGGGGGCTCCTTTGGGGAAGTGATCTCGGGACGACGTTTTGCTGGGAGATTTTCGCCTGTTTCGAAGGGGCTGGGAATCTGCGAGCCAAAGGCCAAGAGTTGTGATTAAAAGGGATGTTGCAAAACGAGTTTGCAGTGGGGCTTCAGTTCGCCCCAGTTCGGCCAGGCTTCCTCTTGGGATAGGCGGTTGTGCTGCAGACTTTGGGGTGAGAGCGGGACTCGGGTTAACCCAGTTGTGTTTGGGGGACCACGGCTTGTGGCTATGGTGGGTGAAGGGACATGATAACAAAGTGCCGGTCTGAAGTCAAGGGTCTTCGCGAGGAAGGAGTTAATGGAGTTGGGGGGCGATGAGGGCGGGGGAGGCTCCTTAAGCTGTGTAACTTGCCAGCCAGTGTGAGAAAACGCAAGTTTTAAACCCGAAATGTTCCAGCAGGGTGGTTTAAGTGTACAAAGCAAAAAAAAAAAACTGGACCTTAATTTTTCCAAAGCCCCTTCTTCCAGTTTTCTTCCCAAAGAAAGAGGGAAGCCGCTAGGCTACTTTTAATTGCTAAAGCGTTTTACCTTCTTTTAAACACGTCGGGTCATGTTGCTCTTTTTTCCCAGCTTGCTTCTCCGGTCGGCGCAGCTGCCAGGGCCCCAGGGCTGCAGGGTTGGGGTGCAGGGACGCCGAGGAGCTGAAGAGAAACATCTAAAAAGTTGGAATCTCAGCCTCCTTCCCTCCCTGCACTCCCGCAAACTCCAGTTGTCTTGGCGGCTGGGGCTGCCTGAATTCTCCCGCACTTCTTCCTTTTCCCCCCGGCCTCTCACTCTTTGATCTATTTCTTTTTCTCTCGCCCCCTCCCCCCTCAGGACTTTTTAAATGAACCTCATTGTTAGGAACCGGCTCTCTACTTGGTTCCTGTAATCCGCCCCGTGGGGTGGTTGCAGTTACAGATTCCCGATCACCCGCAGCTGATCCTAAGGGACCAACTTTAGAATTTGCACAATGACACCCACATGGGCTGGGAGCCAACTCCCAGTCATGTCCCCTTACCCTCCAAATCTTGGGTACACTTTGGGCAGGTGACCAGGGTTCCATTGGAACAGAAACCTTCCTGTGGTCGTGCCCCCCACCCTCCAAATCCACTGTGGGGGTGGGGGTGGGATTTGGTGCTTTCCTTTTCCTCCCCACCTGCAGCCCTGCGTTAAAGATTAAACACTGGTGCTCTTATTCCAGCCTGCTCATGGAGCCAGAAGACTAATTGCAAAGGCATCTTCCCAGTGGAGGGAGGTGGGGTGGGCAAGGAATAGTGGGGAGCGCATTGTGGAAGGCACTCCTTCCGGGAGCACAGGGGCAGTGAGTTTTAGTTTCAGGAATCCCTCTTCTCTCCTAATACCAGACGGCATTTCTCCTCCCCCCAGCAAGATAAAGCAAAGGCAGTCTGGAAACCTGTTGCCAAAGGAAGAGAACTCTTCTGAAGGAGGAAATTGAGAGTCTTAGGCCAGGTGGTGGTGGGGTCAATTAAGCAGTGACTGATTAAAAGGGGACAGAACTCATAGTCTCCTGAGGTGTACCTGTTTTTGTTAGGGGGAGGGGCAATCTAGAGACATCTGAGTGATGTGAGATATTTTGAGTTCAGGAATCTATTTCGGAGGTATAGAAGTTGGATTTTATGGATAAAAGTGTTAGCTTTAGGGACAGGATATGGGGGTGCATTCCAGGGGACTGCGTGAGGTAGGGTGTGTGCATAAAACAATTACACAGAAGTGTGTGTGTGTGTGTGTGTGTGTGTGTGTGTGTTTTAATGCATGGGGCCAAAGTAAACCCAGGTGGCTGGTCTGGAAGAAGGGGGAAGGGAGGCTTGCCAAGGCAGAGGTAGGGACGGTTCCTTGCAGAGAGATTGGACATTTCTGATTGTGGAGGGGGCTGCCCTTAATGGTTACCCTCCTTGGGCCTGGTGGATGGTCTTCGTCACTAACCATCCTCTCTCCCCTCTCTTTCTTCCAGGGTAACAAGATGCTCAACTACAATACTCCCAGTGCAGGGGGCTGCCTGCTGGACAGGAAGGCAGTGGGCACCCCTACCGGTGGGGGCTTCCCCCGGAGGCACTCTGTCACCCTGCCCAGCTCCAAGTTCCACCAGAACCAGCTCCTCAGCAGCCTCAAGGGTGAGCCAGCCCCAGCTCTGAGCTCTCGGGATAGTCGCTTCCGAGACCGCTCTTTCTCAGAAGGGGGCGATCGGCTGCTGCCCACCCAGAAGCAGCCGGGGAGCGGTCAGGTCAACTCCAGCCGCTACAAGACGGAGCTGTGCCGCCCCTTCGAGGAGAATGGTGCCTGTAAGTACGGGGACAAGTGCCAGTTCGCCCACGGCATCCACGAGCTCCGAAGCCTGACCCGCCACCCCAAGTACAAGACGGAGCTGTGCCGCACCTTCCACACCATCGGCTTTTGCCCATACGGGCCTCGCTGCCACTTCATCCACAACGCTGAGGAGCGCCGTGCCCTCGCCGGGGCCCGGGACCTCTCCGCTGATCGTCCCCGCCTCCAGCATAGCTTTAGCTTTGCTGGGTTTCCCAGTGCCGCTGCCACCGCCGCTGCCACGGGGCTGCTGGACAGCCCCACGTCCATCACCCCACCCCCCATCCTGAGCGCTGATGACCTCTTGGGCTCACCCACCCTGCCCGATGGCACCAATAACCCCTTTGCCTTCTCCAGCCAGGAGCTGGCGAGCCTCTTTGCCCCTAGCATGGGGCTGCCTGGAGGTGGCTCTCCGACCACCTTCCTCTTCCGGCCCATGTCCGAGTCCCCTCACATGTTTGACTCTCCCCCCAGCCCTCAGGATTCTCTCTCGGACCAGGAGGGCTACCTGAGCAGCTCCAGCAGCAGCCACAGTGGCTCAGACTCCCCCACCTTGGACAACTCAAGACGCCTGCCCATTTTCAGCAGACTTTCCATCTCAGATGACTAAACCAGGGTAGGGAGGGACCCCCTGCCCACTCCAGCCCCCCCACCCCATACCCACATCCCCTACCCTCACCTCCCTACCCTACCACCCCTACATTAACAAGATTAAGCTCAACCCCTTTCCTCCAGAACCTTGGAATGCCCCTCCCTCTTCCCCCTTTTTAACCCCTTACCATGAGGACAAGTCAATTTGTCAGTAGCTTCTTCTGGCTTGAAACCCTCTCCCCTTGATTTTATAGCCCACTTACCATGCATAACAGACAAGTCCCATATTTGTCAGTAGATGCCTTTTTTTTCTGGCTTAAGCCTTAAGTGCCAAATCACAAAAGAAAAAAGCAGTAACAGTTTACAGAAGCAACTTAGTGCCTTGTAATCTAACTTTGTCACTGTGACTACATTACCTCTTCAGCGCCAGAGGGCACCCGTGGGCCTCCCGGAGCCTCTGCCCATGGGGAGGGGGGAGGGGGAGGGGACCCAGGACCAGCAGCTCCCTCCACTGGCGATGCAACTGCACCTTCCCTTACTTCGGTCTCCCACACACTTCCTTCTCCCCTCTCCCCAGTATACACCCCCCTACACCCTCTTGGGAGACTTGTTGCCAGACTTGGGTTTTTGGGGAAACGTATCTTGACATTCAAAACCTTTTTCTTCCCGAGCTGAACCTCTGTTGACTGATCTTGCCTGGGTTGGTGTAGGTCTACAGGAAGGAAGACTGAAAAAGTGGATGAAGATTGTGACATAAGTGGGACTTTGTGATTTCTTTTTTTTCTTTTTTTTTTTAAGTGGGGAGGAAGGGGAAGCTAGATGGACTATGAGAGACTTGATTTTGGTGCTAAAGTTCCCCAGTTCATATGTGACATCTTTCAAAAAAAATAACAACAAAAAAAAGAGAAAAGCTAAAAAAAAAAAAATGTAAGGGGTGAGAGTTAATGGTATTCATTCCACATACAATATCTGTGTAAAACGATTTCCCGTAGAAGTAGCTTTAATGGTTTTTGCTCTAGAATACCGTAGGTCTATCCTTAGAGCACTCACGCCATGCTTTTTTCCCTGGGTTTTAAACTTCATATAACTTTCAGAAATTGGAGAGCAAAAATTTTGCTTGTCACTGCACATCAATATAAAAAAGCTTATTTAACTTATCAAAACGTATTTATTGCCAAACTATGCTTTTTTTTTGTTAATTTTGTTCATATTTATCGGGATGACAAATCCATAGAATATATTCTTTTATGTTAAATTATGATCTTCATATTAATCTTAAAATTTTGTGACGTGTCTTTCCTTTTTTTCCACAGTTTTAATATATTATTCTTCAACGACATTTTTGTAACTTTACACTTTTTTGGTTATTTTATTTTAAAAAAATGAAAAATTAATTTAAAAAAATGCAAAAAACTGTTGGATTATTTATTTTAGAAATTTCCCCCCTTTGTGTTGGACTGCAAATTGAGTTTCTTTCTCTTTAGGCCTTTCACAACTAGGACTGAGAATGTATGTAGAAGTTCTGTGACAGTACAGAAGGAAAACAACTTTCCATGTATAGCTTCTAAAAAGGAAAAAAAAACCCTTTGACTTCCGCGTGCCCATCTCAAGACATTCCGATCGCAGATTTATGGTTCTGGATTCCAGGCTTGGAGTTTTCCAATGTTAGTGCAGACAGAACTGGCACACACACATTAAGATGAATGTAATTATTATTCCTCTTGCTGGTCACTATCGTCGCTTTCTATTTCCTCTTTGTGTGAATTTATTTAAAGAAAACTTTTTGTAACGACTATTTGCAGTTTAAAAATCAATAAACCCCGTTTTTTTTTCAAGAAACACTGATCGTGAAGCTGGTTTTACTTGGTTTGTGGTTTTTGTAGGCTTGTCTCCTGTATATGTGGCAAGTAACTGGGAGGAGGAGGGGGCATTGCTGGTTTCTTAACCTTACAGCCAAAACCAATGGCTCCCTCTATTGATGCTGAAAATCTGTTGAGCTTAGAGGGGATTGGGTGGAGGTTTACTGCAAAGCGGCCTATACTTCCGTATTATCTGCCCAGTGTGTTAGTTGTTGATTAGGGGCCAGCCTCGCCTACTGGTGTGGCCTTGGAGGTTCTAAGGGAAAGTTGAGGCACGGGGGCTTCCAGTCTTCTCTGCCCAGCCTGTGATCTTAATTCATTTGGGTGGTGCTGGAGTGCCGAAATGGTGAAGGGGGGACATAGCACATGGCATGCCAGCAAGCCTGGATTTGCATGAGCTGTTTGGGTTCTTGAGGCTCATTTCTCACAGGAAGTTGACCTGAAGCCTATCCTCAACCTACCTGGGGTGAGTAGGATGAAACATTTCAGGCTTGGAGAGGAGCATCCAGTGTGGTGAGGGGCTCAATCACCTGGGGATGTGGTTGCACCTGGGTCTGACATGTGCTTCTGTATTGGGAGGGCTGTTAAAGGGAAGTGGGTATTAAAATGGCCAGCATAACAGGAAGTCATCAGTAGGTCCCAATACCTTAAGTCATCTTTACACCCTGATGCCATGCAGACTTGGTAAGTTGTCATCTTGGGAGGGGTGAGGTCTTGGCTAGAAGCACCCCAGCCAAGGCCAGATGACCACTTAGAGGGGAAGTTTTGCTTGCCAGAGAGGTTGGATCCTTCTGAAAACCCCCTAGTCTGGTTCTTGGGAGGATTTCTTTTTGGGGAGGCAGGGATGGATATTGCTATTTGAGGGAGGCTTGTCTGCCTTTGGTTACTTGCACTCAGTAAGTTTTTTTTTTTTTTTGGTGGGTGGTGGTAAGCTGAATTTCCACCTTGATTCCACCTGGCCTCTCCCAAGGCAGTTGGGTCTGTGGCAGATACTGGCTGGGAAAGGACTGTCCTTGAGGCTAAGACCTACCTTGTGTACTCTGTTGACTCTTCCTTCCCTGGCCAGCAGGTAGGTGGTTGCTGGGGGACAAGAGTATGAGGTAGAAAAAAGGGACTATTATCTCTTGTAGAACAAAGGTTGGTGTGGAAGAAGGGGAAAAGCAGGCCTTTTGGGATTGAAGTGAACCTGGGCCTCTGTCCCTTAAGGAGGGAATGACTGTGTCTGGGGAGGGGTGGTGGTGGTAGTGGTGATGATAATGGTGGCAGTGACATGTGATCTTCCTCTGACTAAAGGCAAAAAAGACATTTAATCACTCACCTTGAGCTCATTCCCTATAGGCATAGATGGGCATATGGCAGACATCTTTCTAATTCCCCACCTCTTGGTGACACTGGTTGGATTCAGAGGGGACTAAGCATACCACTGTCTGCCCAAAATTTCCTACATCCTCAGTCCCTTGAGTGATAATGAAGGTGGAGGTGTTGAGGCTTTGACTCTGGGAAGCCCTGGAGGGTGGGTGTTGTCTGTAAAGACAAGGGGAGGCTCTCTATGGCCTGGGGAAGCTCTATGTCCCCAGGCTTTGTCTCCTTGGGAAACACATAGGCTGGGATTTAGCCACCCAGGCTCATGCATGGTGCCCAAGAGCATGATTTTCAGATCTTAAAGGTAGAGGAGATAGGTCCAAAGCTACTTGGGAAAGGAAATAGAATTCTTTCAGGCCCATTCTTTTTCTGGGACATTAGAAGATGAAAGGGCCTCAGCAGCAGTCCTTTGCTCCAGGCTGGCAGGGAGTCCAGGGAGGTGTGAGTCCAGAACTGGCAGGGGACCTCCGTCACTGAGCTCATCTACAGCCTGGGAAAGATAGGAACAAGGCAGAGGGAACTGGAGGTAAGGTCTACTAAGCCAAGGAAAGTGGGACAGGAAAGGCCAGGCCTGCCTTTGTCAGCCAACTTTCTGGGGCACGAGGCCTACTTTCCCACCTCCTGCCCTGAACCTTGGGGCATCTCTGGTTTGGGGGCCTGTACAAGGTCTGCCCTGGCTGGGCAAGGCCTCTGTGGCTGTTGGGCCTGCAACCCATGGTCTGGCCCTTGGCTAAAGGTCTTTCCTTGGAGCAGCTCAAAGAAATGAACTATTTAGACTACTGAGCAATGACTTCCCTGTTTAGGTCTGGAAGCCTCATTTTAAGGAGGAAGACTTGGGAACCTGCTGTTCCTCAGTGGCATTGTGGTGAAAGGAGCGCCTTGGAGAGAATGTGAGGACAGACATAAGCTGGGCTTTGCAGCCATTTGAGTCACGATGCGCTGGATACTAAAGGGGCAAACAGGATCCTGACAGGAGGAAGCTTCCATGGCATGGAGGAAGAAGGGCTGTTGGAGCCCTTGGACCTGGGTTCAAGTGCCAACTCCCTTTATACCACCTTGTACATTGGGCAATCGACTCAACCTTGGATTTCCATCTGTATTTCAAGGGATGATTGTGAGGATCCAGTGGGCCATTAACCATGACAGCTCTTCATAAGTGTGTTAACTTGTGTTCACGATGACCCCAGGGAGGAAGTTCTGTTACTATCCCCATTTTATACGTGGAGAAATTGGGGTGCAGAGTTCGCGAATCTGTTAAACAGCTGGCAGTGTCAGGATTTGAACCCGGGCAGGCTAGCTCCATCATTGCCTTTCACCACCATGTCACAGGCTGGCACACTGAGTACAATTGGCACAGTCCCCAGCACATAGTAACTGCAAATCAACTGGAGTTAGTTCCCATCTCCCTTGGTCTTTTGTAATTTTACAGGGTCACCAGAGGCAGCCAGTCGGATTAGATGACTCTGCACACACCCCTCTCCACTGAGTGTCATGATCTCATGTCCCAAGAGGCCCTGGATTGGTATGTTTGGAGGATGGGGCCTGGGAGGAGGGGACAGGTCACCCCCTTGGACTTTCCCCTTCTCTGCCTGTGGCAGGGTAGCTTCTGTTAATGATCAACAAAAAAAGAATGCCCTGGGGCGCCTTGAAGTTGGCCCTGTGCCCTTCTTCCCCTGGGGTCTCCCCACCCTGCACGTAGCCAACCATTTAATCAGGTCTGGCTGGACTAACTGGAACGCTTCCTGAGTTCCGAGGGGACAGGGGGCCAGGAGAGACCAGTCAGGCTCCGCACCATTCACTTACTGCCTTGTGGATGGCCCTTCTCAGGCTGGCTTTTGGTCTGCTGGGCAGCAAGCAGAGGATTCAGAGAATTGAGAAGTAGGGCGAAACCTCAGCCTTTTCTTGAGTCAAGTCAGCACTGGGGGGCCCTGTGGTGACCCACCTCTTGGTAGGTAAAACTTGGGTTTCAAAGAAAACTTCTAGCCTGAGAGCCTACAGTGCTTTTTGGAGGAGTCCCAAAGGGTTATACCTGAGTTACCATTGTGGGAAACTAATCCTTGAGGAGCCTGGGCAGGGGCTGCCTACGTGCCAGGTCATGTTCTTTCCTCCTGCCCATGAAAGTCAGCTGCTGGTCAGGCATGAGGCTGCCTCCACTGTTTTAGGCTGCTTGCATTTGTACCAACATGTTGGCAAAGGCCAGGTCTCAAGGTACAGGGCTGTGAGTGATGACCACACTTGTGCTATCAGCTTGGGGTAGAGTGAAAGTAAATATTGGCAATGGCCAAACCTGAGGCAGTTTTTTTTACCACCTGGAGCCAGTTAGGTAGCTGCCCCCTGACTCCCAGTTGTACCTCAGGGAAAAGGAGCTGATGACCACACAGGACAGAGTTCATTTCTGCCCACGCCAGTACTTCAAAGGGATGGGAGACTCCACTGCCCAGGTAAGAAGCTTATTTTGAAGTCAGGGACCTGAGTTCAAGGCCCTGCTCAGAGTCAACCTCATTGTGTGACCTCAGACTAAAAACTTAGTAAGTAGCTTAGAGTCCCAGTTTCCCCACTTACAAAATGGGGTGATGATGATGATGGCACCTAGTTCAATGGAGAAACAAGCTGTGGTATAGTTACACAAGGGAATTCTAAACAGCTGTATAAAATAATAAATTACATTATAAGTCTATATACACAGCAACATGGATGATTTGCAAAAACATGAAATGGAGTAAAAGAAGCTTGCCACAAAAGAGCACATATTGTGAGTCCATTTATAT